CCACTGTATATATATATATATATATATATATATATATATATGTTTATGTGGTAAAACAGAGAATAAGATAAGAAAACTCCTATATTATTGACCACGCCACTCCGATTTTATTTGGGTAGGAGATCCCAGGCCATGTACAGGGTTTTCCCGCACAGCTATTCAAATAAAATAATATCCTTAAGACAGAATTACTATTAACTCAGTTTAAATTTTATTAACCAAGTAATCAAGTAGTTTCACTTCCAAGCTGGCTAAATTTACTCATGTAAGATGGAAACACAAATACCTGCAGAGGATAATACCACTCTCAAAGAAAATAAAAATGAAATTAACAGCAAAAATTAAATACAATAACCCCAATCTACAAACTTCAGTTTTCATACATAGCACCTCAAAGCATGAAATACAAAAAAACACAGCACACATGTGAATGATGGTGAATATACTTCCTCCCTATGAGTAAGCTGCCAGTAAGCTGCCAGTAATGGCCTTGTTTGCATGTAAAATAACCGGACCAAACAATAGTCATGGGCCAACAACAAGAGTGAAAGAAAACAAAATAAACAATTCACAGAAACAAGAGAATACAATTTCAAGGCAGGGAAAACAGTGATCAATTGAGCTGGACCGAAAAACAACTCTAAAGAGAGAAAACATTAAACAAAACACAATGTTAACCCATGTTATGCAGTCCAACCTTCTCAATCAGGACAGCTAATTTAATTACACAAATATAAAAAGAAAAACAAACATTACAATTTAAAAAAGAAACCACTATTTATACATTTATTAGTCAACAGTATTAAAATGCTAGGTATACTAGCCTCACAATAAAATTTAAAATAAATACCTTTGAGACTTTAGCTGATCACACACCATTAAAGGGCTACAATCATCACCATATACTTCCTAAAGAAGAGAGAACTCTTTTAACACTAGTGTATACAAAGGTAGACGGTTCATCGTTTTACACCATAAAACGCCCATGGCGTACAACAGCGCCTCCTAGTGGCTTGGCTACACAATCAACACAAACAAAAAAGCTCCATGCTGCAATGCATGATGGGTGGCTTTATAGTACAAATTCATCCTTAATTCCCAAGCTTTTTTTGTTTTGATTGTCACCGTTGTTGTGATTCATGTGCAAAATCTTGATGTCTGTGTGTGACTATATGATGCATTTTGTCCATATTCAGAATAAGCAATCATTTTGCTCTTGGTGCCAGTACTGTGTAGCGTCTCGACCAATCTGACACACTAATTTTTATTTGATTTAACAAATCAATTATTCATTAGATTAACAAATCGTCACAGTCCCCTCACTCAATAAACTGGATGCCAGGATTTCTGCTGAACACCATCCCCCCTTGGTCACCATGACAACTAATCATGATATCACTGGTTTTATGACCCCCCCAGGAATGTGAGTAGGATAACCCACTCTTTGTCCCCATAGGAGAGGCAGAGCAGAAATTGACTTTTCTACTAATTAATTCATAGGAAAACCTTTCTTTGAATGAACACACATATCCTTCAGGTCATTGGGTATATTATTGTCATCGTGTATTTTGTCTTTGATATTTTTAGACTATTTTAGTAT